ACCACTAACTAGTCAAAAGAATATTTTTCATTCACAAGATATAAAACTGAAATTCCCAACACTCGGTAGCTGTACGGAATATAGCCTAATCTGAGCTAAGAAGAGATCGCCCAATGACACTTATCTGCCTCAATCGTACCTTTAGTACATTATTCGTGAAACAAACTACTCATACAGACGACCAGCTAGGTGGATCCCACCGTCGATTGGTAACACAACACCGTTGAGGTAGTCACTACCAACACCACCACACATGAACTGAACGATCCCCATAAAGTCCTGCGAGCTGCCCACTCTCCTTCTTGGGTTGTTCGCCACATAGGCCTTTCCCATAACGTCCAACAAACCGTCGGTCATTTCGGTACGGAAGAAACCTGGCGCAAGTACATTAACGGTGATATTACGCGGACCCAACTCCAACGCAAGAACTCTACCCAAGTGGTTCACACCAGCCTTGGAAGCGGCATACCCGTAGCTACCGCCCACGCCCACATCGGCGCCAATGCCAGCGATAGAACCGGTGATCAAGATTCTGGCGGGGTCGGAAGGAGTGCCGTCCTTCTCCAATAAGGACAAGTGCTTCTGAATAGAAGCAAAGACTGCGGTAATGTTCACATCCAAAACTTCACGAATAGCCGAAATAGGGTGGGTTTCAATCGCTCCACCCTTAGCAATACCGGCGTTGGCAATCAAAATGTGGAGCTTATCCACCTTAGCTACAACAGCCTTATAAAGAATATCCAAACCCAGTTCACTGGTTACATCAGCAGCAACCCCGACGATCTGGCACTTTGGATTGTGTTCGGCGGCGATAGATTCAAGATATTTCTTGGCCTCTTGGACTGCCTCATGACTCCTGACTCCTGGACGTGATAAAGACAACGGAGATCTGAGTGCGGACTAAGCCCTCCGCAGCATCAAGGCCTAAGCCCCTAGAGGAGCCAGTAACGAGGGCATTCTTGCCAGTAAAGTTGATTGGTGCAGACATAGTGCGAAGATAGTTTTCGTGCGTGAATAAGTATGCGTGGATGAAACGTACTCACGGAGAGTACGATGGCTTTATATAGCAATGAAAAACCTCTGCATCTCTGTTGCCCTAATTTCAATATGCGGGAATTATTTCTTACAAGCTAGAAAATAAATATACGGGTAGTGGCGGCCCATAGATGATGACAAATTCTGATTATGGTTGCTATCTACCAAGTTATGCACGTGCTCTTGCGAATATCCTGTATAGGCCGGTCTGGCCTGCAATGTTCCATATTCACCCGTCTCGAAGATTGTTCAACACTGAGATTTGTTCAGTTTCGGAAAGTTAATTATGACGTACATTGTATCAATACACGATGAATATTCGCTTTAAAATAGGTTACTCACCTCGGCATGAACACTAAAGGTAATGCTTTAGGTTTTTGTATAATATTCTTCTGCAGGCGCATGGTCAATACAAAATTACCCCTTGCCACGCACTGATAGTATTTCTCGCCTCCCTGCGGGAAGCATAATGGTTTTTCTTTGCCCCGACACTTGTTCTGGCTCAGCTGCTGCACCTTCATTCTGCAATATAGAGCCTTTGATAAACGCTGACACTGGCTTCCCCTATGAGTGCGTATCCTAGAACGGATGGTGTATGTATAAGGAATGCTATATCGCAGTCTGTGTATAGTTCGTAAGGTTTGGCTCATTTACGACGAGGTTGGGTCGTTAGGTTTGAAGGGCGTTATGAAAGACAAAATCGCACCCTTGGTGCATGATCCTTTACAGCATGAATACTGAATAGGTGTACGATTATCATATTGTCACTCTTCGACATATTTCTCTCATGCGTGCCTGAAACTGGTTTATGAAATTTTGTTCTATTAATTTAACCATCCACTCATTTTGCGGTATATCTAGCGGGAAGTTTCAAACTAAATTAGTTGGCAGAAAAAATCTTGCTTATTATAAACCCCCTGCGTACTGGAAGCTTAGACAGCTTTACATATGACTCCGGTGTCGTATAATCTGTAACGTACATACCTACAAACTGAGGTCATCGGCATAAACTAATCCGCCTTCTTGGAGAATTTTTTCTGAAGGGCAGCCTCGAGTGGCAGCAACTTGAAGCTCACCGAAATGATCATCTCAATGATAAATCTCGGGACGATAGCCATAAGAATAGACGCAGCAGTGGCCTTGGCTCCTCTATAGACATTGAGTCTGTTGCTACTGGACTCAATATCGTCAACAACTTTCTTGGCGTAAACCTCGGCCGACATTGGATGGTTCTTGGAAACCTTCTGCCTCATTTCGGTAATTGAAGCGTCAAATTCAGCACAGGCGTAGACAGAGGTCTCTGGAAAAGGTCTGTTGTCAGCAATGTTCGTCTTGACACCCCCGGTAACCACATTGAGCACTCTAACACCAAATGGCTTCATCTCCAAGTGCAAAACAGCCGCAAACTGGTGAATTGCAGCCTTGGTGGCACCGTAAATAGAACCCCATGGTAAAGGCACGTCACCCGCAACGGATCCAGTGAAGACAATGATACCTTTGGCTTCAATCAAAAGCGAGGAGAATTCACGTGTCATTCTAACAGGACCAAGAACATTGGCCTGGAAACATTGCAATGCCTGTTCGTCAGTAGCGTCGATCGCTGGGATAGTGCACGCTGGATCATTAGTAACTTGCTCCAAAACCAAAACTGGACTCTACACATACCCTGGCCGGCATTGTTGTACAACACGTCAAGTTTACCGTTAGTTTCCTTTTCCACGTATGCTTTGGCTTTTTTGACGCTTTCCAAGTCGGTAACATCACAAGTGAAGATTTTGACGCCGTACTTCTTTAACTCCTCCATTGGCTCCAATCTTCTCGCACAGGCATAGACCTGGTAGCCTCTCTTGGCCATTTCGATGGAGGCGGCGTACCCGATACCAGAGGAGGCACCGGTGATGACTGCGGTCTTTTGTTCGGGCATTAATATAGAAATTTAGTCGTGGATCGAAGAGAATAGAAAAGAAGAGTATAAAAGCACAGCTCCAAGGCTTAGCGGGGCATACATATGCTTGTGTGCGATTGCTAACTATGCAGGGAGTGGCAAAATTAAGCTTCGAGGCCAGTTGTATGGGTCCCCGTGACCCCTGCATTTTTCCTTCCTGATTCCCGCGCACATAAGGATCTGCGCTGCGAGGAAGCAGAGCCCAGGAATTAAGTTCAACTTGATTTAACACCAACACAGGAATTTTGTGGTGTAGTATACTATGGTTGCCGAAGAAGTACCTCTGTACATAATTTTATGATAAACGTGTCTTGGGTCCAATATTGTTCAGGCGCTTTCTTGGCGTGTCGGAGAGCCCCGGGTCCACCTTACTTTAGCCGTGCCGTGGTAAGTGTGTAGCTGTTACATGGTAGGAATCGATACCCTATATAAAGGGGTGGGCTTTTCCTTTTTTATCCTATATACATTTTATAGTCAGCCAGTATATTACTACTAAAAGTAGATACTCTACACCCCAGGTAGAGATATACCACAGATACTGTGTATATTATTTATTTTTGTGTTGACTCACAGTACCTGTGGTATATATAGTAGGTAATAGTGGGTATTATCAGCTAACTAAAAGAGAAGAATTTTCCTCTATCCAATATAAACAAGAAAACGATAACCGATGGCCTTGTGTACTGAGATGGATACGATACCCAAACGTCCGACTATCAGGGGTACGGATATAACGACCGACAACGCCCGTCTAGTTAAATGGCATGTTTAGTATACTACCTGTGTTTAGCATGTCTATAGTGAAAGCTCCTGGGGTACGGTATAGTCTCCGACCTTATACTTTAAATATATGTTAATTTCTCCTACTGATACCTGTGATACTCTTGGTATTTTGCTTTATTCTTTAATATTCAGTATTGTTTCAACTCATGGCCACAGTGGATTTGTTCTTTCCGGGTGTAATGTCGTAATCGGGCTTTCTAGTAGGTTGTTGTCATAAATTTATACATAATCATTGATAATATAATTTTATATCGGGTATTAGTATAATACGCTAACAAAGGTCGGACGCCGCACTTGGTGATGTTTCCCGGCGCATAGAAAGATCCAAGGTCTTTTTAACGAATAAGAAAAAAAATTCTCCCTTCAACAGATATTTATCCAAGTTGTTTCAGTGACAAAAACAGTCTTGATAGATGAGACACCTAGTGACGAAGCAAGATCAGTATTAGATGGGGCTGGAGTAAATGAGGATGCGACAGAAGAGTTTGGAGTAGCAGAGGAACTTAGAACAATTGGTGTTGAATCGGTGGATGAGCTTGGGTCTGTAGAAGAGCTTGGAGCGGCGGAAGAACCTGAGACAATAACTTCTGGATCGACAACTTCAGGGTCGACAGGAGGATTTGGAGCTCCAGAGGAACTTTGATCAACGGAAGAGCTTGAAGTAACGGGCTCTGGATCAGCAGAAGAGCTTGGAACAACAGACACTGGATCGGTAGGAGAGCTTGGAGCAGCAGAGGAACTTGGATCTGCGGAAGAACTTGAAGATAACTTCAAGGAAGAACTCAGGGATGATATTAAGGAAGAGCTTGGACACAGAGTAACAGCGGTAATCGTGGAAATAGAAAAAGTAGGAACTAACGAGGTTTGAGAAATTGTTTGAGTCTGGGTGCTGGTGGTCGTATAGCGAAAGGTACCATACTGTGGAATAAGCAAGAAGGTACCTGTCGCCGATCTCCACTTAGTGGTCAGAGTGTGGGTATAGGTGTTTGTCTGAAATAATAAGGTGCTATACGTGTAAGCTGACATCTGAACCTTATCAACCACAGTGCACCCATTGGGCTGAATGAAAGTTCTAGTTCCTGTTACCACACTTGGAGGAGGCTTTTCATTCGTACACATATCCCAGGTCATACACTTGGTGAAAGCTGGATAACCCAACGCGATACATTCTGCATTAATAGAGCCAAGGACACAGTTCAAGCCGTTAATCGGGTTCAACCAGAAAAGAGAAGACCCCAAAATAATAGTCTTGGAAGTAGCCCCACCTGAAAAGCGCAGAGTAAAGCCGATTAAGGTTTCGAAACAGTTATACCCTCTCAGAAGATCCACGCCAAGTACTACTGGATAGGTGACGGTGTCGTTATAGGAAAGGATAAAGGCACCCTGGGTAGGATTAACGGTAACACTGACAGAGGTAAGCAAACTAACAATGGCGGTTAAAAAAGAGACATCAAAATCAGTAGCTCCCAACGGATTATCATAACTGAAGTACCATTGGACAATGTACTTGTAGTTTCTAACCCCAGTTCCTAAAAGAGTGATGTCGTCGGTTGAAGCAGCATAGAATTCCGCCGTGGCCTGCCAGGAACTCGCACCCTGACCACCAGAAGTAACATAAGAATTACAGAGGTTGGATGGGACGGGGTTAGTGAGACTGGTAGAAACAGTAGTGGTACGTACAGTAGCCATGGCTACCTGAAATAGAAAGGGAACCAATAACAACGAAGAGAGCTTCATAATGGTTTTGGTGATTTTTGAAACAAGTGTCTAAACTAACTGGGGACATTGATCGTCTTATATAGCGCTCGATTTTAATCCTTTATGGGGGGTTAAGATAATCGTTTCTATTAACTCAGGGCTCAACTAGTGGATACGTAGTCTAACGCCAAGCAATTAATATTAAATTGCAAAGTGGGAGTCTTAGTCGACAGCTTTTAACATACGATTAGTTACGAACCAGGGAACCAGTCAATCCCTGTCAGGAAGGCAAATCATCTGTTGAAGGAGGTCTAGAAGCATAGGTTTAGGTTTTGAATGTTTTTAGTTTCACGATAAATTTACAATTTAGATTTCAACAGTGCTGATTTCCACGTAACCTGAAGGAATTGAAGAGATGCAAGTTTCACCTTTCTTGTGGTAATCCATTCTTCCATGATCCGTAATATTTGTCATGGTACTATCTAAACTAGAATAATTGCTATAATGGTTTCTGAAAAATGTGCAGCTGTGGGTTCTTGTGTACTGACGCAGTGGTGATGCACCATTTAGTGCATTCCCAATGTGCAACCCCTCCGCTGAGAGACACTCCTAAATATGATTTTAGGCAGTTTGAAAGTAGACTAATACCTTGTAAATCAAACTTCTATATCAAGAATAGGATAAAGTTGCCAGTTGTTAGTCATTGTTTTATGAGGATAATAGGACTCTTTGATACAGGGAATGCAATTTTGCATAAACTAGTGGACGTGCAGCATGCGCCTTCCACTGAATGGATCAATCAGATAGCCCAAAATTTAGAACCCTGGGATTGCAGAAGGCAAGTGAATGTATAAGAAATATATTGGGAAAGTGAATGAATCCGTCGCTTAACCGTTATATGAAGGCTAGCTAGCTTAATCATTCACTCACTAATCAGTTCCTGACACCTTAGCTACTTGTTTCAACATGATTGGATGACTTCAGACAGTATCTGGTTTTTTATCTTTATTTGAAATTATCACATCCATATTCACGTGCACCCATAAATGATACCAGGACGTTCTGTACAATCGGATGCATCCCCTCCGCACTAAACACCCTGTACGTTTAAGAAAAGGGGTATAACTATACATCTACTACAGTATTTGCATAGACAATGTTAACAATATTACGCTTTCGGTGTCTCTCCCTATACTCGACTCCTTTAGCGGAACCTTGGAATTACCTCAAACTTTGATAAGTATCGTCCTAAGAGGTGCAAATCTCTCGTGTAAACCCCCAGCTAGCCGTTTTGATGCACTCCTAAACGTTTATTCTCATATTAATCCCTGTTCACACCTTACTCATGAATTAGAACTTTTTTCCGGGAACGACCGGAATCTCGTTCCGTGACCGCACTAACGTAGCTTGCAACAGCACCACATTCTTGTTTACCCCTCTGCCAAAAGTTTAGACTGAGCGAACTGATTAGTTCCGCATGCTAATGAAATATAAATATATATATCTCATGGTAAGCATCGTTCATACAATTTCAGGGTTGAAAGCTTGGATCTATTTATTTATAGATGCATATCAGTCAATTTCTACGTGGTAGTTTCAATCACTAGGCAGACGCATGCAGACGTCCGAGTTCTTGCTCGGTATTAAACGTAAAGGGTAGTATCCCTGCATATTCGGTATGTTTTTGTAAATCTTTCGTGCTCTAGATCTTCGCGTCATATGAGTTCTTTTGCCAAAACAAGATGCAGCTTTTCGAGCAATGTTTTTGGAGGTATGGTAGGCGATGCTTTGCAACAGTAATTGATCTTATATACGTTGCGAAAGGCTATCACGGAAACTGAGACTGGTTTAATACAGAACAATATAGTTTTGAATTCATAGGTCATAAAAACCCTGAATCGCCCAAGTCATAATCCTTAGAAGCCACCAAGGGTAATAAACCGAGCACAGGTTGCGTTGCCATGACGTAGCCTATATGCATAAGCCCGTTTGGTATGTTTGCTATATCCAAAATTTTATAATCCGGTCCATAAAATTCTCTATTAATACCGTATGGAACACTCTATTTAGCCTGTTCAATCGGCAAGGCTACCCGTATTCTCCGTACCTCTTAGCTGGCTAGTTATCGCGTGCATAACCTGGCTCGTATATTTGTGGGGACCCTGGATATGCATGAATTTATGCATTTCTGCATTATGCCGCTGATCTTCAACTCTTCAATCTTTCCAATGACCCCAGTGCCTCGATGAACTCAGTTATACTTCCGTCATTCTTGTGCTATACTATCTGGGTGTTTAGGAAGCCCGAGTCGCCGCATGCAAAGTTGTGTGCGGATGATCGATTCCCTCCTGGAGTTAGTGTATAAAGGGAAACGAAGGTGGCGGATTATCCTCATTCTAACACGTTTTCGAAGATGGAAGAAAGTGAACCAAACATGTATAGTTTGCTGGTTATTACAGAGGTCAGTATCTCAAAGAACTCAGGGAAAGAAACCAGAACGAGGTTTTTCCTAGGCCGGGATTATTCAATAAACAAAAAATACATATGTATTGGTTGGTGTATCCTGGTCGATAATGTCATTAACTGGTGGTATCCAATTTTACCCGCAGGATATTTCACATGGATAATTGATTTTAAATTCATACTAGGCCAAAAGTCTTTTATATCTAGAACATCAATAATTTTGCACGCCCTTTCAGATTGTACCTCTCAAAATACCCATATCATGTTTCCTCATTTACAGAACTTGTAGTAAAAGTTCCATTTAACTAAACGGATGTCGTTGGCTGTTATATCTATACCCCTGATTGTCGGATATTCAGATATCGTATCCATCTCAATGTATAAGGCCGTCGACTACCCTTTTCTTGTGTGTATCAGATAGAGGAAAGTTATTCCTCTAGCTAGCTACCAGTATCCACTATTTTCCACTAAATATACCACAGCACTCATCCTCCTTAATACCTTGTCGTACCGTTTGTGACTTGAAACTCAGTACAATCGACCATGAAAACCCACACCAGAACAGATTTTTAAATTTTCATCCAATTACTTAAAAAACAAAGAATTATGAGAGTCCCCTCCCCCCATATGCCTGGATGTATCCGACTGAGCTAAGAAACATACAGCCCAAAGGTGGAAAGCGAGCCGAAAAAAATGCCAACGTGCAGCGAAAGATGAGAAATAAAGCTGATTCGTGGATAGATGAGAAGATATCGCGGAATACGGAGACAAAAATGAATAAGGAAAAGGAATAAAAGTAAATTGAGTATGCAATAAAGAAACTGGTTAGAAGGCTCGAGTAAATGGTAAAGGGTAGCAGATAAAAAGGAATGAGCGTAGAAAGCCGAATGGAAGGAGCTTGGAGTATGGGATTTAAATCTGGGCTATGGTCAGTGAAAAAGGAAAGTCACCAGACACAAGGCATACACGAAGGTCAAGCAGGAAACCCGATCACAGGAAGTACCATACATTGTCGAGGGAACCGCAATCACAAGAAACTGGAACAAAGTAAGATCAGGTCACTGGTGGAAGTATAGAATCAAAGAAAAATGCAGATAGGGGTGACTGACCAAGGAAACCTATACCATGAAAATCTGTGTACAGAACGTCATTGCTTTATAAAAAAACTTGCCAAGATTATCGTCTTATTATGAGCTCTTAACAGAAAATTATCATTTAACAAACCATATCCGAAGTTCGCTAATGGACCCGTACTTAACTTACCCACGCTGTAAATTCTCACATGAAAGTCGCTACGCTTCGCCTGCTAAATCACTATCTAGATTTCATCCAATCGCATAAGCTCCCCAGCATTTCTACTGAAATGTTTCCCTATCCGCTCCTTTCCTCACCTCTCTTGCGGGTACCTGCCCTATCATGCATCCAGTCCCAGAGTTCCCCGCCGGCCTCAAAATACTTCTCATTCCTGCTGTCATGCACAGACGGAACCAAATTGTAGATCCGCCCATTATGCTCCATTTGATACATTCCAGCACTCCCCAATAGCAAACCGTTAGAAGTCCGTCCAAAGAAAGAAAAGATAAGGTACACAATGAGTAGCAAGGCTGGGATCTTGATAATGTATGGGATAGGCAACGGGATGGCAGTAGAGAGGGAATCAGTTGTAGTTATAAGCCCAGGAGGCAGTGGTGAAGGAGGCACCACTGGCGTGACCTCCGCCTCAATCACCTCTGACTTCTTTCTCTTTGACTTGGATCTTGTCCGACCCTTCCCATTTGCCGCAACAAATGCCTTAAGTTCGGATATCAAAATACCCAATAGTTCTTTTTGCCCGCTGATGGAACCGTTCTCTACTGCATTTTTGATCCAGCTTTTGCTCGTCCACTCCACAGACGCTACTATGTATACCTTAGTGCCGTTATTCTCACCCCAGGCAAAGTAAAAGCGCGTCTGGACGCTAAAAGACCCCCCAGACGGCATGTCTGGGGTTCTGGCTGACCGCAAAACCATGATTGACGAATCAAAATCCTCCTTCTCAATTATTTCTGTGACCTCGCACTTCGTCTGCTTCGGGCCAATTGGCCCATGGAGAGGCTTCACATAGTTGTACTTACGGGTTTTCTTCCCGGATGGATCCTTCTTGAACACAGGGATCTGAGAGATATCCCTATTATTCTGTTTCTCCAAGATATTGCGGAGATTCAGCACATCATTTCCGAATAAGTATCCAAATACGGTACCAAGCGGCGCATTCAATGTTTCATTGACAATCTCAACGTCACTTGGCGCTTTGATATAGCCAAGAAATGTTGGAGCATGTCCAGTTTCCGCACCGGATGATAGTTCGCTCGCCTTAGGCTCGTCACTTGCTATACTCAATTCCTCAGTGTTACTCGAATAGTGGTAGTCTAGCTCTTCGCTCGACAAATCGGTGGGCGAGCAGAATGTCAGTGAAAGGGTTCCCGAGCGTCTGCGGGCTCTCAGACGGCGGGGGTCGCCTCTCACTGCTGATTCCTGCACCGCATTTCTCCACGTCTCGGTGAGCATGTCGGACGATGAGTCACGCGAGAGGAAGCTTGCGAATACGTACCGCTCGTGGAGCGTCTGCACCACCATCGCATTGGGAAGCATCACTGCGGTTGACTTTTTCTCGATTTGTACCACCTTCTTCAACGGAATCACCAAGTTCGTGACCCAACCGGGACTGTTTGAGTTGAAACAGAGGTGATGCGTGCTCACGTATAGCTTGCCGTGGACGAGTATTTCCTTCGACAACGCGCAGCCGTACACAGCCGTGCACTTTTCCGTCATCGGAAGTGTCTTGAACAACTGGTGAAACTCCACATCTAGCGTAGGCTCCAAAGGCGTTTCCGGCACGGACAGCGATAACTCACGCACGCTGCGGTCCGCCGACAACACCGTGCGGTTAAGGCTAAGCAGACGGCGCCTAGTTTTGAACGTGGCAAAAATTTTCGGCTTGTGGCGATTTTTTGACACCTGTGGCGACAAAGCCACGACGAAACCCGGCGTACTCTCCTCACTAGTGGCAGGAGTCAAGATCACTTTGGGGTTGGTGTCGTCACGTTTGGTGGCTTCGCTAAACGTTGCGAGAGAAGGGTCGTCGTTGCTGGACGTATTTATAGAGGATTCCTTAATAGACTGGGATTGCACGTATTGTACCATTGTGGCCTTAGTAATGGACTGGTTCTCTTCAAGAATAGTAGAGGTGGACACATCGGTGCCCCGCACGAGTGGTTTCTCACGAGGAACAATGCTGCTGGTGAGATGGTGCGCGGCAGAGATGATCAGCGACATGAAACCTTCACGTGTCTCAGTCGAGGATGTATCTAGGATTTCCGGGTGAGGCAAAGCCATGCTGGAGTAGACGGAAGGCGTGTTAATATGGGTGAAGGGCACGCCGGCGGTGTCTGCTTCGCGTGTAGGCTTCCGTTCCAAGGGTCTGATTAGCGGAAGCAGCTCTGATATATCGCTAAACAGACACGAGGGTTCGTGCTGTGGTACAAAGATATGCTTGAGAGACTTGCTGTCGGAGAGATGGATCAGGGAGTTGTGGGGGCTGAGGCGTGAGCTCTTGTCACGATGCAATTGCGACTTGGGCAGTCCAGGCTGGGACAAGTACGGCACGAGGTCATTGATGGACTGAGATCTGCGGCGTGAAAGCCTTAGGTACTTGTGTCTGAAGCCAGTACTAGAGTCAGGGGATGAGCCCATTTTGCAACAGTCAGAGGATAGTAGCTTGGTACGAAATAGGCTTTGGTTGCTGTCAGGGTTTTTCAACGCGCAGGTGCAGTCCCCAAACGGGCAAGTATACGCCCGAGGCGGAGTGCGTCTACATAGTAGGGTCTGGTAGACACTGTAGCCGTATAGCCGACTTATGACCCGTGCCGTATGAAGTCAAGTTTGTAATAACAGATAGATTGTCGAAAAAATAACGTTTCCGTTTAGTAAAAATACTCTAGGGTAATTTCTAAAGGTCGATAATCATTCTTTATTCATATTACTGCGGCGGGTCTATTTCGCAGTCTAGACTGTTGCCAGTGCTTACATAGCCCCGTAAAATGGAGCTGTGGTAAGACGCAGCACATATCACGCAGGACCTCTGCTTATCGGGGCAAAGATCCAAGCAGTCGTTGAGAATCATTTATTCCTAGTGCTGTCCAGGAGGTTTGTAAAAGCGGTGACTAGGTGTACATCTAATTAACTCGAGATACAGATTGTTCCATTAGTTTCTGCTGGTCATACCCACTGAGACCGAAAATCACTTGGCCCTTGTGCCACACTGTTCGCCCTTGGTAAACTACAGACTATATTGGTTTAGCCGTATGCTCGTGGTCATGAAGATACGCGCGGCTGCGCGGTATTAATTTTCCAGATGCCATACCCGATGCTCACGACAGCCACCAAAATGGGTTTGCCGCTGCCAAGCCCCGCGGTATGCTGCATGCAGAGTATCGAGAAGCTACATCACCCGGGGAGCTGGATACTAGTGTATGGAAACTTGTATTTACCAAATTTAACCACCCATCAAGGTTAAAGGTCCCACCTACCTGTAAACCGATCATACAATCACAGTTATAGTGTATGCTAATCCAATAACTCGTTTAGGCATGAACGAAACGTATCATGTTATATAGTAACCCGAACAGTGGCCTTTCCTATAGCCGATAATGCCCACAGCACGCAATCCATCCCACGCCTGTTTTACATAGTTTACAACTATTCCTGGTAGACCTTTTACAACTTATAATTGCAGATGGTAATCTAGCTACAGTCAAAGGTTGGCTTGGCACACTCGCCGCCTCACGATCTGGCATCCTGCTTAACGACCCTCGGCTCATCCTCGGTGGCATAATATAGATACCCTTATGACTTACTAAAACCACCTTAACCTTCTCTTTGTTATATACCTAATATGTAATTTTTTTTTCTTTTTCAATAATATTCTCTCAGTAGCTAATGGTATCCACCGTTACTAGTTTAATATTCCGCAGCGTACTCTAACCTTAGGGCGGGTATATCAAGGGAACTAGTCTCACTGCTGTTTTTTGTTAACATTAAAGAAAAATTCATGTGGAATTATTATAATAAAATTTTTCAACTACATTTCTAAGGGACAAATATTGGCTATTCTCCCTGCCAACGCCACCCCGGGGTTATCTTTGGAACCCTGAGGGATGCACATTACAGGTCGTGGGTGAATGTGATTAGAAAAGTTCTGCAGATCGCTAAACTCATCTCAGGTTCGGATCCTGGTAGTGCATTTTCACCCTATCTAGTCGACACCTAGTCATGGCACCAATGTAAGTACCTCTATATGCTCCCCCTTGATCACAACTAACGCCTCCAGCACCTCGTTTGTGCGCATAGCTCTGAACCTCGCCCTACCAGTCCGCTTCTCGGTGGATCGCAAAGCAATCCTTGATTCGGCGCGCTCGAGTACACCTCATAAAGGTACGCCTTCTTATGCCATCTTTGTGGCACAATATTAACAACCACAGATGTTCTCTTCGAGGCTATGGTGGCATCTGCCAACACCCAGCGACACCGGTCGCTCCTTCTGATCAGGCCCGGCATCCGAGTTGTGCTCTCAAACGCGGATATCATCGTCTTGTTGGCGCTATTCAAAGAGGAGCTTTTACGGTACGTTACCCGCGAGCCACTATCCAAATTGGAGGCGCTTCTTCCCCCGAAGCTGGACCTCTCCTACGACCAAAAGGACCGGGTGGTGATTCCACTCGAGAAAGACGGCTGGAAGGTGCTTTTGGTGCTCAACTACAAGTTTCTTGTACAGTACCGGGAATTCGCACTGGGAAACGTCTACAGGCCCGAGGAGTTGAATTTCAACGGCCGCGGTGGCCAGGGCCATATGTTAGTGGAGCAAAAGACATATATCGGGGGGAGTAATGCCGCCGCAACGCATATTTTGGTCGAAGACGAAGATACCATCCCCGAAGTCGGTGAGGAACACAAAAAGGGCCGATTGAAGACCACGCACCAGCATTGCCGCGTACTCGGACGTGGGGTCGAGATCCGGGTGCTCCTGCGGCCGGCCCTACGGAGAACTTAGTCTACTTGTGTGACCTAATATACGTGTATTATACTTAAATGGCACCAGCAGCCTTCAACTTAGCTTCCAATTCGCCATTGCTCTTGATAGCATCCAAGTCAGAGTTACCGCCGATGTGTTCACCGCCGATGAAAATATTTGGAACGGTTCTCTGGCCAGTGATTTCCTGTAAAGCTTCCTGTAAGTCAGCACCGTCGGCTAATTGGTCCAATTCAATGACAAAGACGTCCTTAGCGTCAAAGGATCTGAGAGTAGCCTTGGCTTTGGCGCAGTATGGACAGTAAGACTTGGAGGCAACGAAAACCTTGTGGGTCTTAATCAAGGCCTGGATCTTTTCGATGGAAGCTTTAGAAGCCATTTTATATGTTTTTGGTGTTAATCAAGAAAGGCCAAGGAAAAAGGTATGGGGCTTACCTTGTCTATATAGGATTTGGATGAGAAAAATGCTTGCTGGGGTGCTGTAAAAAGAAAAAGAGTGGCGTGCGACGCACCAGACTGTGGCGGGGTCTCTCATTACTAATCCTAAGGGATCGAGCTATAAGATTTGTGTCGTCCAGCGAGTTAATTAATGAAATTTCGTGCCTGGGAGATGAGAAAGTATAGGTTAAGAGCCTGTAGTAGATTAACTAGTAAAGTCCTGGTAAACTTAAACGAGTTTTCATATTTAAGCCATTATGGAGACATTTTCAATCACACGCTATGTAAACAGATACAAGGCATTCATTAAACCATATTTCAATGTGCCCACAAAGGCACTTCCCGAAAGGGTATACCCCGTATGATCCATATAGCCATTAGGCCATTGTTATGACATTCTCAGATACTTGATTATTATACAGCTAATATACAAACGACTTGCGCTTAAAACTTCCTCTTCTTCTCTTGCATCTTCTTGTAGTGCGCTCTTCTGCCGCTGGTCTTGGCGGCCTGGATCTCGGTGTATTTTCTCTTCATAAAGTTACGGGTGTCGTCGTCCTTCAAGATCTCGTCCACCATGCTGGTACCTCTCTGTCTCTTGTTAATTCTGGCACTGTAGTACTCAGTATTGCCCTCGATGATGGTTCCCATCTGGAAGAACTCTGGGATTTTCCACTTGTCCTTCTTGTAGTGACGTTTCGGGTCGAGCGCGGCACGCTGCTGGATCAACTGAAGGTCGCGTCTGAGCTGTGGGGTCAAGCTTGTCTTTGGCATGTCAAACCATTTAGAGCCAGCGTTGGTAGCTTCAGACGCTTTGGCAGTAGCCTTGACGACAATCGGGTCGTTAATGCGAATGACCTTGGTAATGGTCTTGGTGGAAATCACAGAAGTGCTGACCTTGGTCGGCTTCAACAACTCGGAGTGCAACTTCGGCAAGGTGGCCGCGATTTTCTGGATCTTTTTGAATTCATCCTGGTCATCTTCGGAATTCATCTTGGTGCTGTTCTGGGCCTTAATTTCCTGGTTCAAATCGGTAAAGAGATCGTCTAAGGAAATGGACTCTGCGATATCCGACTCCGCGGAGGAGGTTCTGTATTCATCGGTCTGGGTGACGTCTGTGTGTGAATCGGAGTCAGAGACCACAGGGACTCGGACGGAGGTGCGCTTAGCCATGATGGGTAGTGACAAACGCTGCGTGTGGTATAGGAATGTAAACAGGGCTGATATATGCAAAGTGCTAATAAAAATTTTCAAATAAGGTGCAATTTATTTTTCTTTCTTTTGTGCAGGTACGTTGCTTATGTCAGCAGAGATAGTAGGGCCCCCGGGGAAATAGCGTAACATGTTTGCAATAAGTTCAAAAGGCAAGTATAATTATAAATCAAAAATACTGGGGTTGGAATTTTGACATATATCAAGTTAGAGGCTAACGTGGATTTAGTCCTCCGGTTGTATTCATCTTGGGGCTCGTTGCTGCACTCCCCGGTTTGACCACGCTCGAAACCTCAACCATTTTGCTTTTTCCAAAACGAAAACAAATGCGCGACTACAGTTCTTCATTCTAAGTGCTCATCTTTTTTATCCATTTACACCTATTTAATACCCCCCTTTCATACACACATAGCACGCAATGCCCGCGATAACAGTGGAACAGAAACCCGAAGAGACCTCCGAGGTGATTAACGACGTGGTCTTTTTGGCCACCTACGCCGACACAGACTCTGACGACGAGAGCGGAGAATTCAAGGAGTTTGATGACGAGGGCACCTACGGAATCGTCCGCAAAGATCCTGACACCCTGGCAGGCTCCAAGGAGTTGCACCCGTGCCAGTGGTCCACGTGCCGCTACACGTTCCCCGAGCTCGACCTTCTCGTGCACCACGTCATCATCCACCACATCGGCACCAGACAGTCGCAGTACACATGTCAGTGGCGCAACTGTAACCGTCTCGGGATGCCGCAGCCGTCACGGTTTGCCCTCGTCTCGCATATCCGCTCACACACGGGGGAAAAGCCGTTCTGGTGCTTGATTCCTGAGTGCTTGAAGAGTTTCACCCGAAGCGACGCCTTGGCTAAGCACGTACGCACGGTACACGACGTAAGCAGTACGGAGGTGGTTGACGCTAGCAGCCCCTGGTGGTGGGACGAAGACATCTGCAAAAGCACCAGAGCGAAGCGCGAAAAGGAAAGCGGAGTTGACACACGCGCGCGTGAATTTAATGCGAAGTTCAAGTTTGACCGCCTTTTCTACGAAAAGCTCCGCACAAAGCTGCAGCGCCGTTCCGAGCTGGCGGAAACGCCGTTTGCGCCTGCGTTGGCCCGGGCTACGTCTGACTTTGAGTTGTCCAGGGTCTATGTCAGAGATTGTATACCCACTGACGACGAAATCAACGGGCTCCACAACTTGGATGAACTCAAGTCATTGGCACACACGCTACTGGAGATGTTGGACCACGTGAGAAGCACAGAGTTAGCGTTAGGGGACGAATACGCCAAGTTGTCGTATAAGAAACGCAAGTTGTGGGAGGGAAAAAATCTTCTAGTCGATGCCCTTCTCGAGAAACAGTCTACGCCCATTTAACTCTGTGTATACGAATGCCCCGTGGGTGTTCCCGGTGGATCTTAACCCGGAAAGTAAAATTATCTAGTAACAAGTCTGGTACATTATGTGAGTCAAATGTAGCCAGATTAAAATCAACCGACATACTAAAGCTTTGTTATTACGCTTTAAGCAAGAGTAGCAATAAATTGAGATGTTGAATTTACTTGTAACAGACCATTAGATATGGCGACATAAAGTTTGATTTTAAAGCTGCACGCTCGGAGACAGATTATGTAAGTTCAGCCCCGGGGTTCAAACTCGGTGCCGGCAGGCGCAAGTTTTTCCGATGTAACAATGTTTTTCCACCGAGCGTCGTATCTTCCGGGTCTCGGTTTATTGCTAATAGTCACCGTGCGCTGCTAATGCTATAACTTCGCTTCTAAAGCTATGTGTGCCTCAAATGTGTCATTATCCATGTATATAGTGACCTGGATCCCAAAACATAGTGATATCTCTGACGGTAGTCTTGGAATACCGACAATCTCTACCAGACGAGCACGGATCAACCGTAAAAGGCGGGAAAAAGCTGCATGCTGTCGTAAGCCTTTTTTTTTCTCGCGCAAAATAGGAAATTAAACTAAATCTCTTACTCTGCCTTCTTCCTTTCATTCCTTATAGTCATTCATGTACATATCTGCTTACTCTCGTGAGCCAAGAGCTCAGCAAGGCCCCTCGAGCAGGTTTAACACCAAGGCCAGGGAAGCGGTCTACTCACACCTTCAAAAGACCACCAGCATCATACCCATCACCAGCCAGTCTGACAACCAATCCCTCTACACATCCCTATCTCGATGTTCTACCCAATCATCCTCCAATTCATCCTCCCAGTCATGCTTCTCTGGTAACTCGGTGGAAATTGCCGCGGGTATTTTATCCGGCGATGGGAGCGCTTACTCCCAAGCGTTAGTTTTATCCTTAGAACAAGTATTAAGGGATATTGAATCCATGAATTCCATTTATCCGCAAAGATGTCTTGGGATAGATATTCCTGCGTCCCCTTTGGACTCTCCGTTTCCTGATTGGGACTTGAATCTCCAGCGTACACAGCTCTTTGTCAGCGCTTTGCCGGCTCAGTGGCAAGGCCAAACTCCCCTTATTCAATCTAAGGTATACACCAAGGAATCGGGAACAAGACACCACCGCCGATTCCAGCTCATCTTGGTTCCGTACCAAATCACTGACCACGAGCTCATCCAACTCTTTGCGCTGTCCAGGCTCTATTCAGAGCACAAGTTGGATACGCAGTTTAAGCACCATGTCGCAGAGGTGTCCGTGAAGAAATCGCGCTTACTCCAGCTCTCCCAAAGAGCTAAAAACCTGCCTACCTCTGCGTCACTCGATATACCTCTCAGTTTTGAGTTAAAATGTATCGCCTTGCGGAACTATGTGATTAACTTGGGTTGTGCAGCGCAAACTTCCATTGAATTCAAACACGCCTGTAAGGTGATCAAACAAGATCGCTACGCCCAAATGTGTCACGCAGATCCAAGCACCACTAACCACGAAGCAAACCTTACCAAGGAGGAAAAGAAGGTATTGTGGAACACGATAAGAACGGATGTGTTTCAAAGAGCTGGTTTTGATGGAGAGTAAGACGAACTGTGCTTATCAGTTTAAACATGACCATAAAGAGTTTACGTTGCAATGAATTTTACGCCTTCTGATACGTGTAGTTTGTAAAATGAGTGTAAAGGAAGCGTCCAAGATAAACGGTTTGATTTGTCGTTGGTTTATTCTACCGATAGAGGGGATTCTTGAATATTGGGTATTAAATTACCATTCTACATTAAACAGTATTTTTTTTTTAAACTTGGGTATTTGCTGTGCCATTGTGCTAGGATTACTTGTTGGGCATCTAGTTTGGTGCTTATCAATCGTTTTAGTGTGCGTTTCCTATGTCTACACCTGTTTTCAAGTATGATGGTTGTTTAATGATTCCAGTGATTCAAAACATGGCTCTGGGATAACATACCGCTCACCAACGGGTCCATCGCTGCATAATTTCAACATATTTTAAAACACCTTAGGTATTGCTCCATCGATGCTTTCCCATTACTCATCTGCAGACTTCCATCTCCTTCTTACATCGTATACAGATATCTTATAGCATGCTTATTAAATCAAAGGTCCACCAAGTGGAGGGATGTACAATTCTCTAGGGGGAGAAGGCGCGCCTAGTACTCAGAGTCCAATCTAGCGGCCGGGTTGGACTCAATAAAGTCCAAGGTGACCTTGTGGCCTAACAACTCTCTGATGTTGTTACAGTCGTACTTGATCATGGTTGGTCTTTCCAACGACAACCCCCAGCCCAAGACTCTCAAGTCCTTTGGCAAGCCCATACTTTCCAACATCTCCGGTCTGAACATACCAGAGTTACCGATCTCCACCAACTTGCCCAACCCCTCGTGCCACGAGTAGATTTCCAACGATGGCTCGGTGTATGGGTTGTACGTTGGCTTGAAGGCCAAATTCTTGACACCCATCTTCTCAAAGAAAGACTTCATGAAAGCGATCAAGTCACCCAAGGTCAAGTTGTAGTCGGCAAGCACACCTTCAACCTGATGGAACTCAGCCAAGTGGGTGGCGTCAACCGCTTCGTTTCTGAAGACCCTGTCGATAGAGAAGAGTCTAGCCGGCTTTGGGTCCTTGGCCAATTGGTGCAACATGGCAGCGGAAGTGGCGGTGGTGTGGGTTCTCAAGACCATTCTCAAGGATTCATCCTCCTTCCAGGGGTATCTGTACCCGATAGACCCGAAAGCACCCTCCTGGTGAACTTTCTTGATGTTGTTCCAGTAGGTTTCGTCTTCTGGCTTCTTGGCAGTTAACGGATCCTTCAAGTAGAAAGTGTCCTGTAAATCTCTGGCTGGATGCTGTTGTGGCACGTAAAGGGTGTCGAAGTTCCAGAATCCGGTCTCGACGTACTGGTTGGATGGCATTTCGGTGAAACCCATAGAGAAGAAGATCTGTCTAAACTCCTCTCTGACCTTATTTAACGGGTGCAAGGCACCGGAATGTGGAGCCACACCCTCGGAGTTGAAGTTATATGGCTTGAAGGTGGCGGTCTTCCACTTACCGTTGGCAAGCATGTCGCTGGTGATGTCGGTCTCAACCTGGGCAATAGTCAAGGCAAACTCGGCACCCTTCTGGATCTCGTAGGAGAGGATCTTGGTCAAGGAGATCAACTTTCTCTTTTTCAAGTCGGCAAGCTCCTTTTTATCAGCCAAAGTGCCGTTTTCCTTGATGCTCCTCAACAAACCAGCAGTGCTGTCCTCTGGTAAATCAGCGACGTTGGACAAAAGAACGTCACCATCCTTCTTGATCCAACCATTTTTGAACGCTTTACCCTGACCCAATTTACCGGCTGGGCCCAAGACCTTGGCAACTTCGCTGATCTTCAATCCCTCCAAGTGCTTGGTCACTTCGGCCAATAATCTGAATTCGTGAGAACCCTCAGAAACAATCTCCTCACCTTCACTGGTCAACTTCCACAACTCCCTTTCGATAATGGAGAAGGTGATCATGGACTTGGCCACAAGGGAGTTAAGGGCAGCTTGCAAGACTTGCGACTCCACGTCTGGGAACACTGCGTCGGAGTGTTCGATGGTACCATTGTTGGTTTCAACGGCCTGCAACACACGTAATTGTAAGTCAGACATCTTTGCTGTGTGAAATATGTTTACCGAGAGACTTTTATACAAGTCTTTGGGGGCCGTGGCTTCAAGTAAAAACGGCAGGTCGGAACTGTACCTATCGCTACGCAAAAGATGGCTCAACTGTTCGTTCTTCGAGTCTGAAAAATTAGATGACTAAGGGGTTACCCGGTGAGCGAATGCACGACCCTAAGGGTGGAAGTGAAACGCCAAAGTATACGATTATCAGGATAAGAAGGGTATTATTTGCATACTAAATTGAAGAAAAAAAAGTTAGTGTGTATTATGAGATATTTCTACGCAGTAGGCATG